GACGAATAGTTAGGAAAAGAAAGAAACCCCCCCCCTCGAAGCTGTAACACACTGGAACTAGACTGTAGAATAAGCCGCTATATCTGATAGCGGTTTGAGAGTACAGACTGAGTGAAGCTAGACTTCAGACTAGAACTGGAATAGACAACTGAGTCTATTACTGAGTACTGTCCCTATGAAGTGTACATAGGGAACAAGAGGACAAAACTAGAGTACAGTAGCGGGAGTAGTGCTACTTAAATAGACCAGCGAATAGAGTTTAATAAGTATGAAACACTGAGTTGAATCAGTGATGTACAAGTGACAGATGTCACTGTGGATAGTATCAGTGATAGGAATGAAACATGATAGACATGAAACGTGATGTAAGTAAGACAGGAGATAAGTGACAGGTGATAGATATGAAATGCTTGATGGTGATGAAGCATCAAGTGATGGGATCAGTAGTATAGTACAAGATCAACGACGAATAGTTAGGAAAAGAAAAGAAACCCCCCTCCAAGCTGTAACAAGCGCATCAGCCTTATGCATATAAGTACCAGTAGCAGTCATAAGTCAAACTCCTGATCCTCAGTCATTAGGTCCCTTAACAGTAACATGGTCAAGAATCAGATGTAGGGTTGGAACTTCAAGCTACTTAGCTGTGTATGTGGGTGTGGGCTGGAGTGTGAACTGGAGTTGAATGTGGTTTGACAAAGGTTGACATAGTTCAGAGGGTCATAGTCATATTTTGGGGGGTATGTGCAATACTTCAAATGAGGTTTGAAGCCAGACTGAGCTCTGCTGAGTGGAGAATGTGATTCTGCATGAGTCTCACTACTAGGGGCCAAGTACTACTGTAAAACTGTGCACAACAGCTCTCAAGTATCCCTCATTGTCCCCAAACCACCCAAGTCACTGCCTCTACTGCCCCAAACATACCTAACAATCCTGATACCCTCCCAACACTAGCCCAATGCCTCTATCAGCTTTGACTCTTGTCTTATGTACTACTTCCTGCTGGTCCTGGAGACTTGACTGTTGCAAGCCTTGGCATTGCAACATGAGCACACTGACCTAATTTATTGCCCAATGACCCTGCACAGTGCATCTCAGTCTCTTGGTGATGGGGATTTTTCCTTGAAGAGAAGTTCCTGGAAGAAGGCCCCCTTTGAAAGCTCCTGATTGGATCAGAGCAAGGTCACAACTCTTCAAAGATGTCAAAGAATAGAGTTTGGTTGAATTGTGCATTTGAGGCATTGCAGACTTTCCCAAAGTCAAACACTTTAAACACCTCAAGTGTCAACTTATGCTTGAGATGTGCCTACATGCTATACAGGCCTATCAATGGTTTATAGACACTACAGATTAGTGGATGTAATCTTATCTAGTATATGTTAAGGGACCTAACAACTGAGGATCAGGAGTTCAACTGAAAACTGGAACTAACACTGTTGCGCATAAGGCTGATGCACTTATACTTGAAACTACACTGGGTAGACTGAGCTGCTATAGCTGATAGCGGTTTGAGAGTGCAGACTGAGTAAAGCTAGACTGCAGACTAGAACTGGAATAGACAGCTGGGTCTATTGCTGAGGATGTTCCTATGAAGGTACGTAGGGAACAAGAGGACAAAACTAAAGTACAGTAGCGCAAGTAGTACTACTTAAATAGTACAAAGTGAATAGAGTTTAATAAGTATGAAACACTAAGTTGGATCAGTGATGTATATGAGACAGGTTTCACTGGGTTGTATCAGTGATGAAGATGAAACACGATAGAGGTGAAACATGATGTAGCTGAAACATGATATAGGTGAAATGCAATAGATATGAGACACTGATGTAGGTGAAACACATCAGGTGATGGGATCAGTTGTATAGTACAGGGTCAATGATGAATAGTTAGAAAAAGAAAAGAAACCCCCCCTGAAGCTGTAACAGTATAGATCTAGATATATGGTCATTATCTGATGTATCTGATGTACCAGATATAGTTACAAGTCTAGACTGAGTCTAGTAGATTCCAGATAAAGTCTAGCTGGACCTAGCTGCATCTATTGTTCTATGATGTCAGCAGTAATGATATGCTCCTTGATGTCTGATGTCAGCTTCCTAGAGGTAATTACCCTATTAGGTAGTTGACTCATACAATATTACTTAGTTGTATTATCTAATTGTTTGTGCATGTAGCATCCTCTCTGTGTATATAAACCCCTTAGGTAGAACACTAATGCTCAGTGCTTTTTACTCTCTCTCCCATCCTCATCTTAGTATCTTCACAGATATCTAAGACAACTCTCAGCCTTCTTACTTGCCTGTTGTCTAGTCAATACAGGTAAGGTTGATTGCCACATTTATATTTCAATGCTGAACAAGCTCCTGACTAATAAGTAGAATAAAGTTAGGAATATTGAATTTTTAGCTGCACCATTTGTGGTGTAATTTCTAGTTTTCCAAAGCTGCAACAAGTAATACATACTCAAATCAGCTAATCCAAATCAATATATTGATCTCAATTGCGTGGGTAAGCCTCATCCACGCGCGAATTGCCGTCGCCAGATCAACCTGTGTTTTACCATAAAATCGAGTACATGCAAGCTGTGGGTAGTCTTTGCGCTTTTAAAGCTCTCAATAGCTCACTCAATAATGGCTGGATAGAGTCTCCTAAATAAAAATAAGATGCCCAATGTTGTCGACATTACTTCATCTGACGCTGTACGGGGTGCAGACGGGAGTGGCGGACTTTCTGTGTCGCGCGAGATGCTCGCCTTAGTTAACAAGGCTGGATATTTGACCGCGGGTACTGGAGCACAGAGTCTGCGAAATCTGTTTCGCAATGGTGAGCTGCCTGTTTTCTTGGGATGAACGTCTGCAGACAGTCCGCAGGCTCTCAGGACTTCAAGCCTGAGCTGCTCAAACAATTCGCGTTGAATTGCTTTTTTGGTCAAATACAGGAAGTCAAAGCGGTAAGCGCGTAGGATGCCCGCAAGTGCTTGTACTCATAAGTCCGAACACTAGATGGTAGAAAGTGGCCGAGCACCCGATTTATCAGGAACCGAAACACCGTTTAAATTCGGCTATTGCACACTCGTGGTCATGGGCTCGCAAAGGGGAGCTGCCGATATTTCTGGAGGCACAGAACGATTCGTCAATACCCTCAAATTTCTCCTCGCGCACGGTGCACCGACAGATGTCGAAGATGTGGTGGGCCACATTGTCCTACACCATTCGGCACAGTATTGTCAGGGGTGCACTGTAGTGTTGATGCGCATGCTGCTCGCAGCCGGGGCGAATCCAAATCATCGGAACAAGTACGGAGAGGTTCCGATCTTTTCGGCTTTTCAGGCAAACACGGCTGATGCGGTGGAGCTGCTGATGGAATATGGAGCTGACCTGGATATTGCTGATGCGGAAGGGACATCTCCCCGGTCAATATTCCTGAGCGCGGGGCCGCAAGTGACCGCTGCTGTTATGAAGTGGCTGAGAAAGCGTAGCGGGGAGGAAATGCCTATGGCCGAGGGCAAAGTGTGTCATAATTGCGGCAAGATCGAGGGAAAACTGAATATTTGCTCGAGATGTCACACGGCATGGTACTGTTCAAAGGACTGTCAACGTAAGTGTGATCCTCTGATGCCACGGAGGTTTCGGGCTGCCCGTGACTGATTTAACAGGGGTCGATTGGCCGAATCACAAACGGACATGCAAATCATACAATGAGTCGAATGCAGTCACCGTGCGCCCATTCTACAATAGCACAAACAACCTTCAGTTGCTACCAACTGCAGACGTGGTCCGAGATAGGCTCAACATTAGCATGACGCCCGCACAAGCCAGAAGCAGCGCACAAGTCCCCCGCGTTCGGCCGGGAGAAGCGAAGATGCTGGTTGTCAAGGTGCAGGCGCCATACAGGAGCCCTGACATGCAACCCAGGCGTGCGTCCGAGGAGAGCGGGGATTTGCTTGTGTACGACAAGAAGCGCAGCCTGACGTGTAGGATTCGGAAGGCGGAAAATGGGAGCGCGTACATGCGCATTCTACGAACAGTGCGCGAGAAGGGGATTGGGGGACTCAAAGCATACTTTCCTGCGGAGTTGAAGAGCAAGGATGAGCTTGTGGTGAAAGTAGGCGAGGTGCTGGCGGAGCAGCCATTCTGACTGTTTTGACTGTTTGATTTATTTGTTTTCACCGGGCCTCTTGGGAACATGTACGGTAATAGAGACGAACAACCCATTGTATTTCTACTCCTGGCATAATTTTACGCCTGGGATGTTTTGTTTTAGACGCGAGTAAATGTAGTCACTGTAGTGACACTGCAGCCCCGGGAACACCGGGATCGAGCTGATTGCCGTTAAAATCACGTGTAATGACTTCCATTGGGGCAGCCTGAACACGTCCGAGTACGACGGCAAGATACTAATCTCGCAGAATGATACTGGGGCGACTATCCTCTTTTCTCCTACCCCCACCTCATCGGCGTTGATACTATCAACGAAACACCAGCCGGACTGCACTTACGGACTTGAAGCCACCAATTAGTACTAATCACGTTTGCGTCGGAAGATGGGGACACTCACTCGCCGTATTTCCTCGCTTCATATACCTAAATTTCCTATCAGCGCCGTCAACAGTCGCCTCGTCAAATATTTGCTCTTTCTAGTTTTCCTTGCTAATATCCGATCATGGCCCTTTGCATGGCACGGTACGCACATACTGTCATACAATCGACTCCGACCTCGGATCGTTGACGCATGCCGCGAACAGTGCAAGTATTTTTTCCCGCAATCAAGATACGTCTCGCGTGGACGCTTGTAAGGTTGCGAGTCCTTTTCAAGCCGAAAGCCGTGAAGGATCAAGCGAAGGCTCGGTGGTTGAGGAACCTATCTTGTGTGGGAGTGAATCCATTTGAGTTGAGAGACTCTTGGAAGAATTGGGCTAGTGAGTACTTTGTTACGAGTATTTTATTGCTTTCGGTCGTTTCAATCGATCATACAGAGCTGTCGTGAGACAGACTAATGCCTCAGTCAATCGGGTATATAGACGTGGAAGTTATTCGTTTTCGCTCTTGATACAATGCTATATCCTGTAACTCTTGGGAGTCTGTCTTACTTGAGGGTGTGACATTGACACTATCTGTGCTGTGCAGGTCTAGACGACTGTGATTATAATCTGCACCTCAGCAATTCTTGCTATGCCAAGGTGTGTATACTTACTTATCTCAACTGCAGCTTCCTGACACTACCGGTATGTGTAAACACCAAGAATCTAGACACGTGTCGTCTTCAGTTCGTTCTTAAGGCGTTTCCTACAATGTTCCGCGCTGGGGGCTGGATGGCACTCGGTGGTAAGTGTTCCCGTGCTTCTGCTCTCTATCTTCGTATGACTGGTTAAATGCACGTTAGGCACACACTTTAATTTTCTACGCGAGATCCCAATCCTATCTCAGTATGAATGTCGAAGCAGCATTGCGGGCTGGGATAATAAATGGGTGCGCATCGGCCAGTTTTGGCACTTTGCTTGCGCATATACTCATGTCAATCAGTTATACGTAGTCATCCGTTTTGTTTCGCACTCGCGCAAGAAGTCTAAATCTAAAACCAACGAGGAGAGCTCACCTCAATCAGACGCTGTGGATACACGAGCGGATGCGGCCCCATATCCCGTCCTGCATATGCCTGTTGTGCTCGACAAAAGCCAAGACTCAAGTGCCGCCCCATCTGCGCTCGCTTCCCCTCCCTCCCTCGATCCGTCGAGCACAAATGGTTCTGTAACTGGAACACAGGCAAGCTTGGATTCTCACGCAAGAGCCGTTTCCGCCGCCCTTCGGCCGGGGACGCATGTCGAGTCGGACGGTGCGACCTTGCATTGTGTCGCCATCTCCGCAATATGCTTTAAGATAGGGCGCATAACCATCCCTCCCGCGCTTGCGCTCGTGTGCGAGGGTCTCAGTGTGGGGCCGGAGGCGGGGATCGAAGACGCGCCTGCGCCCGCCCCATATTCTCGTGCGAATCCCCCGCCGTTCTGGTCGCGCGTGGAGGAGTTGCGCGGGACAGAAATCAATCTCAGTAGGCTACGCGCATTTTATGCGGGCGGGTGGCGCGAGGTGCCGGAGGGAGAGCGTTGGTGGGAAAGCGCGCTTGGTGGGGAGGTGGAGAAACGAAGGGCGGCTGGGATGCAGATTGCTGGCTCGCTGAGGAGGGGGATGGAAGGCATGCAGAGCCTGTGAGTGAGCCAGGTTGTCAGATAATTATTTTAGATGCGCTGCGATTATGCTATCCTGAAAGTATACGTAGAAGTTCAGTTCAGACAAAGCATTTTTTTGCCCTACAAGTCGTTATGTCGAATTATGCGCTGGCTGTAATGCGGACATTTGGCTTATGGTTGCCCTAGAAATCTCGAAAATTATGAATGACACTAACGAGCTCATAGGCATATTCATTTATTTGACAATGACAGCTCGCAGCACAAACTCGCTTCTTTTTTACCAGTTTCAGGAGGGAGAAAAACACGCTCCCTCGGAAGAAGGGATATTTTACATCATGCTCACACGCACATTAGATTCGACAGCACCATCACTGAAGTACAACTTTACATCGTCACAGTCAAATTGTAGTTTAACCATAGAAAACCGATCAGGCCCTTTCATAGCCCGATTAATCAGACTGTAGTCTACTTTAAGGCGACCAGTCTTTGTTCATGAAATGCCATTCGACATCCTCCAACTGGCCCACACTCAGGGCGGCGAAACCCTCGAACAAAGACGGGCTGAGATCTAGTTTAGGGACACGGGTATTTAATTAGCAATTCCCTTTGCGGTCTAGGGAACAGTGACTAACCAATATCGTACTCGCCACAAGCCTCGCATTCGTCACGGGTCTTCCCGTACTGGGTGATTCCGTTGTAGGTAATCTCCATCCACTGCGATATGATACAGCCGTCAGCAAATTTAAGCTCGTAGACACAGTCTTGTGAACTTGCCTGGTTGCAGTTTCCACCGCTGCCATAGATGAGGTGGGAGATAGCAACAACGGGATCGCTGTTGCTGTCGGTGTACCCACAGGCTCCGAGGCCGGTGTCGTACCACGTCGCCTACGGTGGAGTGTAAGTGGAACATAGAAAACCAAATGTTTCGCGGTGAGCACTCACCCAGCCTTCATGGGTAACACGCTTGTCAAGTGTGGTGCTTTCCGCCACGGGGGAGGCAAATACCGCGGGTAGGATGGTGACAAGAGCTGCACAGAGAAGAGCGAAACGAGCCATTTATGATAGATTAACCGGAAGGTTGATCGTTCGAATGAAAGAGTTTCTGTGTTCGAGGATGAGCTGGTAGACTCGTGAAGATCACCGTTGGAACGAGGCTTCTTTTATACTGTGAACGCAGCCACATAAAAAATCTCTGTAGCCCAAACATAGAGTGACGGCCATGTGCCTCTGAGAAGACGCGTCGCTCATTCGACGGCCTTAGACGGCTCATCAAATGAACACAGAAAAAGGCGCGTATGAGAATGCAGGCGCGAGTCCAGATGGAACGAACTCCAGCTAGGTCAAAAGCACGATGCCAAGACAGAAAAAAATCGGCGGAGGTAAGAAGTGCGGCAAGGATAATGATGGTTGAAATAAGTGTTCAGATCTAAGGGGTACGCAGGAAATGCGTACTGTGCTGAAGACACACATGCACTTCTGCAGACTGTTATGGCCACCTTGTGGTGAACTCGGCTCCTGTGTGGAAAATTATACGGCTTCCCGCGCAGTGAATGATGAAGTAGTTCCCGAGCCGGCTTGCGCGCAGATCAGCCTTCTGGTGACGCTCCTTGGCAGATTTGTAGCCTAGGTAGAAATCTCTAGTACGGACGTCATGTTATGTACGGGGATGCCCCTCAGCCGTCTTCAACGGTACTGTCTCCAAGAGGTGGCCACAGAATTCAGCAAGAGAACAACTGGTCGCTTCGACACTCACCAGAAATCGCGAGATAATCCAGTGATCAACCTACGGAACGGAGGTACCCTTACACTGGTTTGACATTGCATGTCGCTCTTTGAGCGCATCATCGTATGATGGGAACTGCGCCCCAGGCGCGTCCCGGTCGCGGTGAAACTTATAATCGCAGCGGATACTTAGCTCCGGAGGAGAGCGATCGCAATTGAATTTGGACCGATGAAACAACCTGTGTAAAATCTGGCAGTATTCGGCGTCTGGTGAAATTGTCAGGCAACGTGCTGTATAGGAGTCTGCGCGCTCGAGAGCTTACCTTAATCTGAGTCTTGCCTGCCTCGCACGCAATAATGATATGTAAGATACGGGGCTGCACTTCTTGCAATTTAATTGCGGAACGCGCAGGATGCGACCTGAACTCGCACTACGAGGCGTACAGACGCATCCGGTGAGTGTGTAGTGCAAAAGATGGCCGCCACAGGCGCGGGACGCGTCGAGTTCAGGGCAGGATCTTACGCGCGTCGTCGCTGAAGCGCACAAGTTCAAACTCAAACTTTTGCTGCCAGCTTGCCGCTGATCTGCTGCAAGTCCGACCTCAATTACTCTACACGAACGTGCTTCATTCATATGTATGGTTGCTACTAGTGTCTTACAGCAACACTATCGCCGTCGGATTCGCTCTAAAGGCTATTTTGTAAGCTCTGGAGACTGGCTCTACGATTTGGGCATTGTTGAGCTAAAGCGGCGAATACTTGCTCTGCATTGGGACTTGGTGCTGATGAACGAATACGGTTGTAAGGTACACGAAGAGATGTCTTTTCCTGTTGTGTCGAACGAACCGAAAGCTAAGACTCTGCTCTGGTGCGGTGACAAACACATAGTCGGCATTCTCAGCCTACCTCGGTTTTAGCTCTGGACCTCTTGATACTTGGCATCTGCGAGGCTGGCATCAACATGTGGTACGGGCGGGAAGCATCCATCCCGAGGTCGCATACATCACATGTGGTCCGTCACAACTAGCATATTGTGCGAACGAAACCTGTTACGCTAAACCTTGCTCCCATACACTGTGCCCCATTCATCCACTGCGGATCTTGACTAGCCTCTCCAGCATCGTCTTCAGATTCTGGGTCACTAACCCTAACGAGGGAGTACTTGTTCCAAGTTTCATTAGGCCGTAACCTCAGAGCGCTCAATGTTGTTCTTTCTGGCCTTTCTCTTGCCCACGAATCCCGCGTGAGTGCGCAGCAGGGCCTCGGCGAATCACGTACCTTGTCAGTATTTATGATGCGCTTGTCGGGAGGAGCTGATGCTGTGCACTGATACCGCATAGCGGTGCTCAGAGAGCAGTTTTGAGAGGTATGAGCCCGGCGATGCGTTGATATTTCACATAGCTCAGGCTCTCTGAACGTCCTTCTGTGAAGAGGCGCCGAGAGGCGCGCGTATCCTCATTTTCGTCCGATTCGTCTGGTCATACTGGCGCTCGAGGCCCAATGGCGG